GGAAAATTGGGGCTCAGTGAAGGGAAGTGGTTTGCTTAGTCACCCCAAAAGGTTACTTTCTTTTCTTTTAATAATGCTTGATTGTTTTGGAGGGTTATTATGTGTAATAGATAGCTTTATATCAAGAAGGAATTTACATGTCACTGAAACATCCCAGCCCAGTTCAACTCAAGTCTGTAAGTCCGATACTAGTCTATAGGTCCCTCTCTGGGATTCACGCTTTATTATGTTTGTTTATTATTATTATTTTTTTTTTCATTATGTTTTTTTTTGGTGGGGGGGACTTACCCAGTAAATTAGGTTGCCAGGGGAACAAGACAATTTGTTGTGTGAAGTGTTGTGGCAGTGACATAATCTGGTGTCAATTTGAGAGGATGATGAGTGAAGGGGTGGAGTCTGTCTTGTCAATCAAGATATAACCAATGAGGCCTCTGTGTGGGCGTGGCCTTCTTCTGAGAAGTCTGGGAACTCTGGTACTTCCTCCTTGGAGGCAGGAGACACCTCTCTCTGCTCACTCCCTGAGAGACGCTCTACTGACGAGACACTTGGCACTATGCTGACAGACCCAGTGCCCGGGGAACTGGAGAAGCCACGTGGAGACCCCTGCCAGCGCTGAGATGCTTACAACGCCACTGGACCCACGAGACGTCCCACCCACTGGCCTGCGATCTTCCTGAATTCGGCGTCATTGCAAGTGTTTCTTGAGTCTGAAGAGGACTTTATAGATCAGTATCAGACGTATGGGCTGACATCGGACATGTGGACTTGATCTGGACTGGACTGGGATGTTTTCTCAATATTCAACTGCTCTTGTAGATCAAACTCTTTCCCATTCACGTATGTATCTCCATGAATTTGTTTCTCTAGTCTACCCAGACTGACACAGGTGGATTACATCCGTTAGGTTTTCCACCCCGTGTCAGCGGGCTCTCTCCGATTCCAGTCTACTTGTCCCTTCCACGTCGAGCTTTCTATGTGAGCAAGTGCCAATCTGCCTCGCGTCCTCCTTTGGTTTAGAATTGTGCTTACAATACGTGTGTGTATACATAGATATGTCACACGACACGACACCTTGCATTGGGTAAATCTGCACAAGACCTCTTTAAAGTCCCGAAGAATGCCAAAGACGTCATTTTGAAGAGGAAGGTGCCCCTGAGCCAACCTGGGGCACTTTCATTCGCCTTTCACATGCACCTGACAGTTAAGACCCAGAGTTAGGAAGTCCGGAGAAGGAGGAGAATCAGTGCATTTGGATGGTGGTGCTGGCGATGAATCCTGAACGCGCCGGGGATCGCCAAGAGAACAGACATGTGTGGCGGAGGGAGTACAGCCACCACGCTCCTCAAGAGGCCAGGATGGGGAGACTTGCATCTCCCAGGCATTGGACATACTGTCAGGAGGGAGCAGAAGGACACCCTGTTTGGGAAAGCAGAGAGACAGAGACAAGGAGGAAGACTCTAGACAGGATGGATGGACCCAGCAGCTGCAACGAGGGGCTCACATGCAGGACCGGGCAGTTTTGTTAGATTGTGCACGGGGACGCCGTGGGCCGGAACCAACTGGAAGGCCCCTCGTTCCACCACAACACCTCCCACGGTCGTGTGTACCCTTTCGTACCATGAACGACCTTCGGGATGTGGGGGGACCCTTCCTGCTGTCAGCTCCCGGATTGTTCATCAGTCTCAACAGCGACTCGGACGGAGTCCCTGCGTAGCACCAATGGTTCTAGCCTCAGCTACCAGCTAAAAGGTTGGCAGTTCAAACCCAGCCGGAGGCACCGAAAGGTCACAGCCTATGGAGGGCTTCTCTGGGGCGCACATGCGCTTAGGATGAATTGGCATTGACTGGAAAACCACCACCAGCAACAAAGGAGTCCCTGCCCTCTTTAAGTGGTTCCATATCGGGCTGCTAACCGCGACGTCAGCAGTTCGAAACCGCCACACGGATGTCATCCCTCGTGTGTATGTCCCGCAGGGTGTTGCTCCGTTTGCGGTTGATGGGCCTTTCTTTGGGTTGTCCTCACTTTGGGGGGCTGTTTTGGTGAGGGGAGGGGCTCTGATTGTGCCCGTTGGTGTTGCTGCGTTCAAATCGTTGGGGTGCACCGCTAGGAATGGCTCCGCTCGATCCTAGGGTAATTCTGTTGACGGAGTTGAGGCGCCCTTCAACCCAGTCTTTCCATGCAGACTAGCCATGGAAGGAAGGGTTCTAGGGTCTCCACAGCCTCACCAACACTTGGCTTCTTTTAAAAACCTCTTCTCTTCTTCTTTTTCTACTGTTTTCTTTGTGTGTGTGTGCGGGTGAGCGCTCCCATCACACCCAGGCAGTGGATCCCACTGTCGTGTTCTTGTGTATGTTTCCTTCCACCGTGAGTTTATTACGCTGTTTTCTTCCCTAGGGACGTAGTGAGAATAAGTGACGAGGGGAATAGAGTGGTGACAAGGACTAGGTGCTGGATCGGAGTGGATTTTCCAAAATTTGTATAATGACCAGGGTTCCTTGCCACCTCCTGAGGGCATTGAGTCAGAGTTACCCTGTAGGAGGGCACGGGTGCCACTCCATCAGAATGGACGGAGTGGCTCCCTGTGGTTGGGTTCTAAGGACTATGGGAGCGGGGAATCCCTGGGAGAGGTGGGTCTTTCTCTAGCAGTTAGAGGGACAGAGAGCCTGGTGATGTCCCTGGGTAAATGGGCACCAGTGGTGTGTGAGTCCTGTGTGCGGTGTCTCCCTGAAGCAGAGAGCCTGTGTTGTGAATACCAGGGCTTTGGGGTTCTCATGACCACTCGCTTCGTCAGAAAAAAAGAGCCCTAGCTAGATGTCCCCGGGGACAGAGGGAGGGAGGGACTCTGATTGCATCCATCTGTGCACAGTTCACTCTGGCCACCGAATGCTTTCAGTTGGGCTACTCAGCCGATGGCCACTGCAAGGGACATCCGGACCCCACCCTGCCCCAGCCCCAGCGGCTGTACTGGGACCTTCCAGACGAGGTGAGGCCAGGACTCTGGGCCCCCCATACATGTCTCATGGACGCTTAGCTCTACTTCAAACTCATCCCCATCCTTGTCTCCAATTTCAACCTCAAGACTAACCCCAAATCCATACCCCCTACCAGCCCAGATCCAACTTCATCCTCACTTCCAGTGCCATCCCCAACCCTAACCCTCACCTTCAATCTCATCCTGAACTCTGCTCCCAAATCCATCTTCATGCCCTGTCTCAAACTCACCCCCAGCCCTCTCCCAACTCCAGCCACACCCCAAACTCCTCTCCATCCCAAGTCCTGTCCCCAACACAGTGAAGCCCAGATTCCGTCCCATCTGCGATAACAGCCTCGTCCAAGCCCCAAATGCCCCTCATCTCCATGCCAAAGCGTATCCTCTGTGCCATCCCTAGTCCCATATCTTTTTAAATTTTAATCATGTTATTGGGGGACCTGACAGCTCTTATAACAATCCATACATCCATTGTGTCAAGCACATTTGTACATATGCTGCCGTCATCATTTTCAAAACCTTTTTTTTTTCAAAATGCTTTCTTTCTACTTGAGCCCCCGGTATCGGCTCATTTTCCTCCCTCTCTCCTGAACCCTTGGTAATGGATTTTTTTTTTCCTAGCCCCATTTCTAGGCCAATCTCATTACCATCTTCCCACCCATACCCAACCTCACTTGAGCTGTCGCCCAGCCCCCAGCCCATTCAGATCCCATTGCCATCCCTTATCACCACTCCCACCTTTGGCCAAGCCCTTCTGTCCCATCTCCTTCGGTGTCTACGTTTGAATCTCTCACCGTAACCCTTCACTCCATGCCAGCCTCCACTTCCACCCCTATTCCCGACTTAGACCCTCTCCTATCCCCCGTAGGCACCATTCCTTTCTCCCTTCTCCCTTGGCAGATCCATCCATCCATCTCCCTAGCCCTGAGGGGCGCCCAGGCCCTATCTGGAAACATGGACTGCCACGCCTTCCCATTCTCCCGTTTCGGCAAAAGCTTCATCAAACGTTGCCATCTTTCTCCGGACAGCTTCATCCAGATGGCCCTGCAGCTGGCCCACTTCCGGGTCAGTGCGGTGCCCGGGTCCCCTCTTGGGATCCTCAGCCCTCCAAGGCTTGCCTTGCTCAGCACCCCAGGATGTCATTTCCATGAGCGTGACCCTCTGGATCCTCTCTCTTCCCCACCCCCCACTCCCGGGGAACGGGGGGTGCGGAGACCCCAGCTCCCGTCAGAAGAGGGGCACACTTGTCTGTTGGTGAAGATTGCTAGTCTCCCTGACAGGTTTCTCTCCTCCCCGTCCCCCAGGACAGGGGTCAATTCTGCCTGACCTACGAGTCGGCCATGACCCGCTTGTTCCTGGAGGGCCGGACGGAGACCGTGAGGTCCTGCACCAGGGAGGCCTGCGACTTCGTGAGAGCCATGGAGGACAGCGGGAAGACGGTGGGCGTGGGCTCATGGGGGCTTCCGCCCTTTCCCATGAAGCACCCACATATTTGGGGGGCTCCCTTGCTGAGTTCAAGGCCCGTGATGGGCATGAGAGGCCCTGGAGGAGGGGGGAGAGTGGGGTTGGGGAGGATGAGCCTCAGGGAGATTGCTCACTAGCCCGGTGATCTAGCTTCCGTGCGGGTGGCACAGGGCAGGGAATCCCAGGATGGGGAAATAGGTTAGCACACTCAGCCGCTCACACAGGTTGGAGGTCGCCCAGAGGTGCCTTGGAAGAAAGGCCTGGTGATCTACTTCCAACAAACCAGCCGCTGAGCACCCCGTGGAGCGCCGTCCTACTCCAGCGCCCATAGGGTTGATGGGAGTCGGATGGACTCGATGGCAACCGGCTTCTAATGGCGTGGCAGGGGGCTAGGGGTGGTGGTGGGGGGGGACACAAGTCGAAGCCCTTCCCACAATGCAGCGCTCCTTGATCACTAACCCTCTGTGCGACCTCCTTTGTCCCAGTTCCTCATGTCCCCCGTCCCCTACCTGCAAGATATGGTGGGCTCAATGCAAGAACCTCAGGCCCTGTGGTCACACAGACTTGGGGCCTCAACCCCAGGCCTGTCTGACCATGTCACTCTCTTCTCCGAGCCTCCGTTTCCCCCCTCTGCCCAACGGGGCTTGACGGCCTTCCCAAGGGTGTGGCAGGTGGCTGGGTTGAGGTCAGGCGTGAGGTGGGCCCCGAGGGGCCCCTTTCTCCCCCTCCATGACCTGTGCTCTCCCGGTGGACCCCAGGGCCCGCAGCGCCTCGCCCTGTTCCGCCTGGCGGTGGACAAGCACCAGGCCCTGATGAAGGCTGCCATGAGCGGGCAGGGCGTCGACCGGCACCTCTTCGCCCTCTACATTGTGTCCCGCTTCCTCCACCTGCAGTCGCCATTCCTGGCCCAGGTTAGGGTTCAGGAAAGGGAGGAGTCCCTGGAGAGGGGTGGGCTTGCGGGCCAGGAAAGGAGAGGGGCGTGGCCAGACGAGGTGGGCGTGGTCTGGGAGGAGCCGGGGGCGTGGCTTGGCGAGAAAAGGGGTGGGGCGATGGAGGAACCGGCCAGGGGTGTGGTGGGGCAGGTAGAAGCAGAGGTGGGCGTGGCTATGGAAATGACGGGGATGTGGTCAGGCGGGCTTAGGGGAGATGGGCAGAATGGGGTAGATTTAGGGGGAAACTGCCTTGGAGAAGCTCAGCTAAGGCTAGGGCGGCCCGGCGTGGAGTTGTGCCCGTGAGGGCCTACCTGCCGGGCCACTTCTCCTTTATGCACCTGTTACCTCTGTCCCTCAGGTTCACTCGGAGCAGTGGCAGCTGGCTACCAGCCAGATCCCCGTTCAGCAAAGGCACCTGTTTGACACACACAATTACCCAGACTATGTTTCCTCCGGGGGCGGATTTGGGCCTGTGAGTAGAGATGGGACCACAGAACGGTCATGGGTTTGAGGGAGGAGGGCCTGGGGCCTGAACTCTTGAGCCGGAGGGAGGAAAGGGCCGGCAGTCTGGACTTCTCGGTCTGAGAGAGGAAGGGGCTGGGGCTGAGATCCCCTGGGTGCAAGGGGTAGGGGTGGGGGCTGAGGGGTCTTTTGCCTCCTCCCCCTTGCCCGCTGCAGGCTGACGACCATGGCTATGGGGTCTCTTACATCTTCATGGGGGCTGACGCGATCGCCTTCCACATCTCCAGCAAAAAATCAAGCACAAAAACGGTGAGATGAACTTGGGCGTAAGCTCCCCCCCTCCCCCCCCTCAGACCCAGGAGTCAGGGTCACCCCCACACCTGCTCACAGGCTTCTCAGCCCACGGGACTCCCTCTCCCGGCATCCCACCCGGGCCTGATCCATTTCTTCTTCCAGGACTCCCACCGACTGGGGCAACACATTGAGAATGCGTTGTTGGAGGTGGGCTCCCTGTTCCAGGCTGGCCAGGGACTCGGGTGCCGACACAGAGGCCCAGGGGAGAAAGACTCAGGGCCGGAGGGTGGAGCCCTCTCCAGCCAGACGCAGAGCTCCAGGGCCCCCACCAAGCCCACGGACCTCTGAGCCCTCCCACCTGGGAGCGGGGCTCCCTGAGGGACCCCTCCCCCGGGGGTGAGGGTCTACAGCTGGGCTGGTGCAGGACCAGGGCGGCCTGCTTGGAAATCCCCACTGCTGGCCCATTAAAGATGTGTGAGCCGGGTGTGTGTGATGTTTGCTGCGACCTCGGGCTGGGGGCAGTGGGAGGGGCCGTCCAGTTGGCGGAATTCCCCAACTCCAGGGACACCAAATGCAACCCCGCCAAGCCCCCCCCCCAACCAAACAACTCCACAAGCTCAACCCTGCTGCCCCATGACCAGTGGTCCATCCCCGACCCATCTCCAAACGGAGAGACCCAGTAGCTGCCGTCAAACCCGCAGGTGAATTCACTTGGGTCCTGATGACCCAACCCTAATCCTAGTCATTTCAACCTTTACCTCAGGGGTGGATGCTTGACAAGCCCAACTTTTTTTTATTAATCATTTTATTAGAGGCCCATACAACTCTTATCACAATCCATACACACATCCATTGTGTAAAGCACATTTGTACCTTCATTGCCCTCATCATTCTCAAAACATTTGCTCTCCATTTAAGCCCCTGGCATCAGCTCCTCATTTTCCCCTCCCTCCCCGCTCCCACATCCCTCATGAACCCTTGATAATTTATAAATGATTATTTTGTCGTGTCTTGCCCTGTCCGACATCTCCCTTCACCCACTCTTCTGTTGTCCGTCCCTCAGGGAGGAGGTCATATGTAGATCCTTGTAATCGGCCCCCCTTTCCAACCCACCCTCCCTCTCCCTCCCAGTATCACCACTCTCACCACTGGTCCTGAAGGGATCATCCGTCCTGGGTTCCCTGTGTTTCCAGTTCCTATCTG